TCAAAATCACAAACCTGAGATCAAGAGTCACGTGCTCTTCTAAGCCAGCCAGGAACCCCTAAAAAAATTCTGTATTTAAAATACACATCATCTGTTTTCTTGTTCACAATCCAAGTACCTCATCTATTTTTCTTCTGTTTTGTTTACAATCTTGAGGGTTTGTTTTTGTTTTTTTTTTTAAATACTTATCCTGCCATGAATTCATAGGGAATGGGTTTCAGCATCTCAGACTCCTTTCCATTGGATCTCACAAAGTGTGCTTCTCTGGGTGGAGCTGGCAGTTGAGTAGATCCCAAGTACCTTTCTCTTTGGCTTCCATCTTTTTCTGATCATTTTCCTTCACGTGCTTCAGGAAGCTATCTAGGTTCTTTCGGTACTTAATATGCACAGTACATAGGGGCGCCTGGGTGACTCCATTGGTTAAGGATCTAACTTTTAATTTTTGGCTCTGGGTCAGAGTCATGAGTTCAAGCCTTGTATTGGGCTCCATGCTAGGTGTGGAGCCTACTTAAAAAAAATATGCTCAATACTTACATTAATTGTCTTGGCAAGAATCTTGCCCTTGTTTGTTTACAATGCCAACAGCATGCTGGGTAACACTGTAGACTCTTCAGTTTTGCCATGGTAACATTTGTGGGGCATTCTGTTTTGAACAGTGCCCAATCTCCTCATGTCTACAACATCACCTTTCTTGTAGATTTGCATGTATGTGGCCAAAGGAACAACTCCATGTTTTTTCTTTTTAAGATTTTATTTTTTTATTCATGAGAGACAGAGAAAGAGAGGCAGAGACACAGGCAGAGGGATAAGCAGGCTCCCTGCAGGGAGCCCGGTGTGGGACTTGATCCTGGGTCTCCAGGATCAAGTCCTGGGCCGAAGGCAGACGCCCAACCGCTGAGCCACCCAGGCATCCCTAAAATTTCTTTCTTTTTTTCTTTAAAGATTTTATAGTTCGGGATCCCTGGGTGGCGCAGCGGTTTGGCGCCTGCCTTTGGCCCAGGGCGCGATCCTGGAGACCCGGGATCGAATCCCACGTCGGGCTCCCGGTGCATGGAGCCTGCTTCTCCCTCTGCCTATGTCTCTGCCTCTTTCTCTCTCTCTGTGTGTGCGACTATCATAAATAAATAAAAATTTAAAAAAAAAAAAAAAAAAAAAAAAAGATTTTATAGTTCTTTAATTCTAGAAAAAAATAGAACTGGCAGCTTTTATTCACTTAAATATATAAAAGCACATGTTTTAAACTAAGATAACTTGTTTAATTTTTGTTTTGTTTCCATTTAATTTTAAAAACAGTAAAACATGGTTTTAATTGGTAGTTCTCAGTAGTACCATTGCACCTTTACAGTATACACTGTATTTTTCTGGGCGTTTCCTGCAGTCATGAAACTATAAAATAATGTATCATGCCGAGGTAGAGGAGTGTTAAGCACAGTCTGTTTCAGAAATAGCTGACAAGTATAGTCATTTGTCAACTTTTTAAGAAACTAAAAGAGTAGAGTGCCAGTTCTCTTGTAGTGTTGACTCTTTTACAAATTTGGCAGAGCAAACATAACTTCAAGAAGACATGTCTTCTACATCCAGTGTTTTCTTTAAAGAGAAAAACATGATAAAACATTGACTTTGGTGCTAAAATGTTTTAACTGTAAAGAGAACACCCATGAAGGGTAGGTGGAATCCCCAAGGTGCCTAGAAAGGAGCAGAGGCAGAGCAGCTGACTCAGCATCTCTAGGAAGTGTACCTCGTATGCCATCAGATCTGTGAGGACTACGGATGTGTTTAATTTGGTGCTGTTTGGCTTGGTGGCTTCTATTAGTTGTATGGTTCTCTGACAATGGAATGGATGGATATAAAAGGCAAACAAAGGGTACTTTTGAAGTACTCAGAGTTCACACCAGGGTACTGTGTTACTGTTTTGTTGTTTTTTCAGACTTTTGTTTCTGAGGACCACATAAATGCAATCTGACTAGAGGATTCTTTTCTTTTCCCCTCCCTCCCTCCCTCTCCCTCCTTTGCTCCATGCCCATTGTGGAGCTTGAACTCAGGACCCTGAGATTGAGTCACATGTTCTACTGACTGAGCCAGCCAGATGACTCTAGGGGACACTTTATATCATACCTGCCTTGCTTTATCAGTATATGCAAATCTAACATTCTTTTTCACAGCTGTGTAGAACTGATGCAAAATTTATGTAATTGCTCTTTGGATGAATATTTAGATTTCCAATTTTGAATATATCTCCATTACCTTTTTGTCAGATCCTACAGTTCCTCCACACAAGATGTGAAATCTCCATATAGGAAAGATACAGAGAGAAGAAAAAGAAAGATACAGAGAAATAGAAATGTGAAATGTGGGATCCCTGGGTGGCGCAGCGGTTTGGCGCCTGCCTTTGGCCCAGGGCGCGATCCTGGAGACCCGGGATCGAATCCCACATCGGGCTCCCGGTGCATGGAGCCTGCTTCTCCCTCTGCCTATGTCTCTGCCTCTCTCTCTTTCTCTCTCTGTGACTATCATAAATAAATAAAAATTAAAAAAAAAGAATATTTAAAATAAAAAAAAATGTGAAATGTGATTTGAGAATTATGTTCAGCCTTCAGTTAATTGAGCTTAAGTGACCGCTGAGAGAAGAGTTTTACTCTGTCCATAACCCAAACCTTTTAAAAATCCTTTCAAACTGAAAACATTGGTTGTTTTGAAGGTAGGGGCTGGAAGATGAGTGGGTAGCCAAGGTGGTAGTGTCAAGGGTGAGAGGGAATCTTCTTAGTGTATAGTCCTTTTTTGTATTTTTATTTATTTTTCAAATTTTTTAAAAGATTTTATTTACTCATGAGAGACAGAGAGGCAGAGACATAGGCAGAGGGAGAAGCAGGCTCCTTGCAGGAAGCCCAATGCAGGACCCAATCCTGGGACTCCAGGATCACACCCTGAGCCAAAGGCAGACACCCAACTGCTGAGCCACCCTGGTGTCCCTTTTTGGCATTTTTGAAGATTTTAAATATGGAACTAGGTCAGCTATTTAAAAAATCACTTTTAAAGCCCTTTTATAATTCTCATATGACTCAAGCGGTATCCTGATTCATTCCATTGAGGTGTGAGAAGATGAGCCATCATATCTTTCTACATTAAAGATAGTCTGTAAAAGTGATTCTTAGTCCTATATTCCAACATTAGTGTATACAGTTGACCCTTGAACAATGTGGGGATTAGAGATGCCATGTATAACTTTTGACTCCCCCAAAATTTAACCACTTATAGCCTGTTAATTGGAAGCCTCACTGATACCATGAACAGTTGAATAATACATATTTTGGATGCTATATGTATTATACACCATATTCTTAAAGTAAGCTAGAGAAAAAAAATGTTAAGAAAATAATACACAAGTGAAAATAAAATACTGTACTGTACGAAGATTTGCCTATGTGTGGACCTATGTGGTTGAAAACCACGTGCAGGTGCAACTGTGTATTACTACTAATGCAGTATAAATTCCTACATAAATGTATTTTGAAAGAAAATTAAATCACCTAAAACTTCTAAGTCAATATGATAACAAGTTCCATGCACTTAATTCTTCCTTCCTCTCCAAAAGTCTCATTGAAATAACAAAAAGAAAATAGAAACACAGAGAAAATGCTGATAAATTTGGGGAATACCAGAAACTGAAAGTTTATACTAAAAACTTTGTTATTTCTATACAACACAGTAGTGTTGGAGAAATTTCATTAAACTTTCATTAATCAGTTCTCAGTATTGGAAAAAAAAAAAAGTAACCTGAAAAGTTGATTAATGCTGGCCCATTAAGTCCTCTTACAACGCCATACCAAAAACGTAGCTCAAAGCTACAAATATTGTGAACAAGGGAGTCAGTTGATGGGGAGGCAAACCTAAATCTTGGCCCAAACTTCTCAGGCGGCTTTGTTGGGCCTCCTCTTCTCAATTTAGTAAGATATTGGCTTTTCTCAGGGCTACATTGCTTCAATTACCATCTATTTGATGATAGTTCCCAAATGTAAATCTGCAGTCCAGTCACTGTCACTACTACCCCCATCCTTTTATGCACATTAAAATCTAAAAACTTTTAAATCAGAAAGGGGAAGAGACATATGAATCTTTCCTCCTTTTTATTCCTTATATCTTTTCCCTCTTCTGTATAGTAGGTTTGCTAATAATGCCAAATGGTATCAGTAAGTGTGGCTAATCCTTACATCATTCATTCCGAATTTAAAAGTATTTGGGTGGGGGAGGGGTGCCTGGGTAGCTCAGTCAGTTGAGCAACAGACTTGATTTCGGCTCAGGTCATGATCTCGGAGTTATGAGATCCAGCCCTGCATTGGCTCTCTGTTAAGTGTGGAGTCGGCTTGAGATTCTCTCTCTCCTTCTGCCTCCCACCCCCTGACATGTGTGCACGCTCTCTCTTTCTCTCTCTCTCAAATAAATCCTTAATTTTTTATTTTTATTTTATTATTATTATTTTTTTTTTTATTTTTATTTTTTTTGCCCCGGCACCTCGGTAGCTCAGTCAAACTGCAGACTTGAGACATAGGCTCAGGTCATGATCCCATGGGTTGTGAGATAGAGCCCTGTGTCCTGCTCCACACTCAGCAGGGAGTCTGCTTTAGAATTTCTTCCTTTGCCTCTCCCCCCACTTGTGTACTCTCTCGGGCGCTCGCTCTCTCCCTCTCTCTCAAATAAGTAAACCTTTTTTTTCTTTTAATCTTAAAAAAAATGGGGCAGCCCCGGTGGCCCACTGGTTTAGCGCTGCCTTCAGCCCAGGGTGTGATCCTGGAGACTGGGGATCGAGTCCCGCGTCAGGCTCCCTGCTCGGAGCCTGCTTTTCTCTCTCTCTCTCTCTCTCTCTCTCTCTCTCTCTCTCTCTCTCTCATAAAAATAAATAAATAAATAAAATCTTTAAAAAATAAAAATAAAATTTAAAAAAATGTATTTTTGCCTATCAGGATAAAATGTTCCCTTTGAGCTAACATTCCTTACTATTTTAGGTTGAATTCTCTTACCCGCCCCTGATTCCAGGAGATGGACATGACAGCCACACTTTACCTGAAGAATGGAAGTATTTGCCCTTCCTTGCCTTACCAGATGGCGCACACAACTACCAGGAAGGTATGTAAACAATGGAGCAATTAGTAGGTGCCTTTTCTTTCTTTCTTTCTTTTTTTTTTTTTTTTTAATTACCAAGACAGATTCTAAGTGTTTTGGTAAATACAAGGCCTTTGGCTTCTTGTGACTATTCATAAAATATTTAAATGCTTGTTTGGAGATGACTAGTCATGCACTAAAGATATCCAGAGGAGTGCTGGGCTTACCCTGGTAATGTTAGTGGATGTTGGTCACTCCTTTGCCAGGATCCCCGGCCAGAGTAAGTGCTTGGCCAGATTAGGACATCTGCTACTAGTAGCAGTTCCTGCATTTATACCTCAGACTCCTCTCAGAGGGAAACTAAAGGGTTTATCTGTACTGGCTACTAACTGACTGGGGCTCTAGATGCAAACGTACTAAGTTAGTACTCCAGTGTCCAAGTGGGATTGCTTCTCTGCCCCTGGAGCCACTGCTATTGCAGTGCTCTGCCTAAAAGCTTACTGTAAGGGGTGACTGGTTGGCTCAGTTGGTGGAGCATGTGACACTCGATCTTGAGGCTGTGAATTCAAGCCCCATGTTCGGTGTAGATATTACTTAAAGATACAATCTTTTAAAAATGTTTGTGTATAAAAAGAACATGTTGATACCCTCAGAGAAAGCAATGCTGTGAAGTTATACTGAGTCTCCTATGACCCTGTGAGTGCTTTGACTGGCTTAACAAAGGACATGTTTTATCTTGGCATTATGGGCTCTACCAAAACACCAGATTAAACTTAATTACCTCTTTTCCTTCTACTTAATAATTTTCATATGAAATGAAGCAAATGTTACCATGCAGTTTAATGTAAAACTTAAATACATTGTTTTTTTTTAAAATACATTGTTTTTAAGCGTGCAAATCTTTTCTTCTCTTTTATTATGAAAGCTTTTAAACATACAGAAAAGTTGAAAGAATAGTATAGTGAATAATTCCACAGTTTTTCTTTATGTATATGTACAGTTTTGCCTTTATTATATGAAAGTAACACTATGTTGCAGACATTGTGACAGTTTACCTCCAAATACTTTGGCATGCCCTCCTAAGAATAAGATCATTTCTCAGGATAATTTACAGTACCATTATCACAGCTAAGAGATTTAACAGTAATTCAATAATATCTAATATCTATGTTCAAATTTCCAATTTCCAAGAATTTCTTGGATCTGTCCAAGATTCATGTGTTGCCTCTTGTTTGTATGATTCTCTACTTTCCTTTAATCTGGAATAGATTAAAGTATTTTCGGAGATAAATTATTGTAGTTTCAATTTTAGCCTGTTATAATTCACCTTTTGAGAATGTGCATTAATGAATGTACATGGTAAGAGGGATTCTAAGTGAGAGGGATTCTAAGAAACCAATGGTTGTGATGCTAGAGGTAGTATGACATGGATTCCTTGTTACATCATCTTTTTGGCTGTAATTAACTGTATTATAATAACTTCAGTTTACATTACTTATTAATAAAGGTAATTCACTTTGGTAATTACATTTTTCTGTGTATCTCTTAGATACTGTGTTTTTTCACTTGCCACCCAGAAATGGAAACGGAGCCACAGTATATGGTATCTCCTGCTACCGACAAATTGAAGCCAAGGTATGGTAGTTACAATGAACAACAACAACAAAAACACTGATGCTATTTTAGATTATTATTAACAACTTGAAATTGTTTTCCCTATAGTACCAGTTCATTCACATGAATATTTTTGTAAATTGACATGGGTGACTAATTACCATAAAATATTTTGTGTGTTGTTTTTGTATAGTGATACCTAAATTGTCCATTTGTCTTCAAAATACTGTATTTGAACTTTATAGTTTAATTTTCTTTTTCTAGTGTTTGGTATGTAATTTAGAAAAATGAAATGATAATGTGTGTTCTTTAAGCAGCTGTTTAGAATTAGTGGAAAGTACTTGTAGTAGCTTTGAAAGACTTGCATTTATCTTAATTATCTACAACTAAGATTTTGTTAATTCTTAAATTACCTGTCTGCTTAATGCCTGAATTACTATAATAGCTCTAATTAATAGATTCTCATAAGCCAAGATGGGTAGCTTCCCCTTCCATGGTTGCTTCTCAGCAGCACTGGTTTGTGTGTGTGTGTATATGTGTGTGTTTGTGTGTTTTGTTTTAATGAAGATACTCTGTGAGTAAAAAATCTCTTGCATTCATGACATCATTAATACTCTAAAGTAGTGAGTGTTCCGCAACTTCAGCTGCACATTGGGGTCACCTGGAGAGCTTTAAATTCTAGAGATGAGTAGATCCCAACCCCAGAGATTTTGATTTAATATCCTGGTTATCAAAAGTTTTTTTTTTTTTTTTAAAGATTTTATATATTTTTTCATGAGTGACAGAGAGAGAGGCAGAGGCATAGGCAGAGGGAGAAGCAGGTTCCATGCAGGGAGCCCGATGTGGATGGGCCTCGATCCTGGAACTCCGGGATCACACTCTGAGCTGAAGGCAAACACTCAACCACTGAGCCACCGAGGCATCCCAGTTATCAGGCGTTTTAAAAGCTTCTCAGGTGATTCCAATATGTAGTCCAGATTGGAAACACTGCTCTAAAACAGTGATTTTTTTTTTTTAATGGGAATTACTTGGAGACTTTCTTTTTAATACACACCTGGCATTTCCTTCTGACTTGAATTAGAATCGCTGGTAATAGAGGCTAGGCAATTATAAGTTTTAAGAGCCTCCTCAGATGAATGATTAACTTAGTAAATCTTTCAGAATTTTCTTATCTTTTTATAATGACCATTTCAGATGAGATTGGGCGCATTCAGGGTGGTAGGGCTGTACACTTTATTTATTTATTTTTTTTTTAGGGCTGTAGACTTTAATGTCCATTTCAAACATGCAGATAAATTTTTAAAATTGTATGATGAACACCAATGTACCCATTGTCTAGATTCAACAATTGTTGGTGTTCTACAACATTTACTTTGTGTGTGTATTTTTCCCTGAACCATTTCAAAATAAATTGCAGGTGCAAACTCCACCATACCCAAAGTAGTTAACTACTGTGAAACAGCCCTTTGTGCATAGGGCCTGGAATATAGGACACACCTTGTAAATATTTGCAGAATGAATAACTGAATTTAAAGATAAAGATAAACCTGAGAGTAAGAGATATCCTGGTAGCTTTGTGCATTTGATTGCTTCATATACTGTTATCCTTAACAGTATGTTTCTATGAGATGAACTAAGTTGCCCGCCCCCCCCCCTGCCCGTTTCTTGGAAATCTGTTCCTTTTACTCTCATCCCCTATAGATAGTGTAAACACTAATAAAATTATCCAAAGCTGGTCAATATTAACAGTTCTCATGCTCTGCATAGCCTTTTTTATTTTTTTTAGATTTACTTATTTATTCATGAGAGACACAGACAGAGAGAGAGAGAGAGAGGCAGAGACATAGGCAGAGAGAGAAGCAGGCTCCTTGCAGGGGGCCTGATGCAGGACTCGATCTCAGATCTTGGGATCATGACCTGAGCTGAAGGCAGACACCCAACCACTGAGCCACCCAGGTGTCCCTCTGCATAGCCTTTAAATGGCATTTCATGCTCCCTGTCTTCTCTTCCCCTGGGTCTGACCCATTCCACAATATATTGGGATCGCCATTTTCTCCAAATTTTTTTATTGTCACCCAATAACCAGGGGGATAAGACAGGTGTCAGAAGGACCTAGAACCTAGGAGAAAGACTGATTCCCTTTGAAGGAAAGTAAGACCTGATAGATTAATGAAGGCAGAAAGGTATAAAACAGATTGAGGGAAGGCTCTGTTCTTAGTTTAGTGACTAGTCGTCAGTCATTTGAAGACACTAAAACCCCTTGGTCCTCAGGACAAGTCCAAGGAGATGTCAGGCAGTACACTACAGAGGGGAGGATTAGTTCTTACTTCTTTCACCACATTATCTGAGGTTGATCAAATGAAGGCTTGTTCTTTAGTAGAGAACAATAGACATCTCACAGTCCTCCTCAGAATCATCAAGGCATGAACTCTGGCTCAGAGCTGGGCTACAATACCAGTTTGCCAGCATAAACTCCAGGCAGTGTAGAAAAGCACCTTAACTGTCTGCTAGTACTTCCATCTTGGGAGAAACAAGCTGTTTTTGTCATCCTAAACTAGCCTCTTCCCTCCAGCAACAGTAGTCTCTGAAAGGGTGCCCATTTTCAAACGAGAATCAAGGACGTTTGGTTTGCATTATGGGTGTGGCAATTTATACATGAGGTACTCTTAATCACAGAGTAAGTTTCTTGAAGAGTAGGGATAATCTCTCGCTGTTATATTTCTAGTGCCTACCAGATTCTGGCACAAAGTTTCCTGGCTGACTTGTTCAATATATATTCTGAGATTCTGAATAAATTTGGAATTTAACTAAATGTAAGAAATTTTTCTGTTATTTTTATATTGGAAGATAATGATTTTTAAATATTTCCATGAAATATTTCTAATAATGACTTTTTTATAGGCATTGAAAGTACGGCAAGCAGATGTCACCAGAGAGACCGTTCAGAAAAGTGTCTGTGTTCTAAGCAAGTTGGTAAGAGACCAAATAACTTGTTAATGTGTTCGGTAAATGTTCGTGGCAGAGTTTTGCTTGAGAATAAGGTATTATTAGAATAAGGAGAGATTATGGAAATAGTAATAGATTAAAATTCATTAGGGGCTCTTATTTATTCTCATGCATCTCCTCTTTCTCTTTGCCCTTCAGCAGTTTTACTCTCATTTGCAGCTCTACCCACAACTAGATAAGACGAAGGAAACCTAGCTAGGTATTTGGAAAAGAGGTTGACATTTGATCAAAATGAGGTTGCTGATATATTTCATTTATCCATTTTAATTTTGTTTTCAAGACTTTGGATAAATAATATATTACTAAAACTCAAAACTATCACTCACATTTTACTGATGATATAAAAGTATATGACTCTTGATAATGAATAACTGTAGCCTTAACTTGCTCTTTAAAAACTGAAACTTTGGGGGGCACGTGGGTAGTTCAGTCAGTTAAGTGCCTCTTGATTCCATCTCAGGGCATGATCTCAGAGTTATGAGGTTGAAGCAGGGTTGGTTTCTGCGCTCAGCAGCAAGTCGGCTTGGGATTCTTTCTCTCTCCCTCTCCCTTCCCTCTATCCCTCCCCCTGCTCGCATGAGCACTCTCTCTCTAGAAAATAAACAAGTGTTTAAAAACTTAAAATTTTTGAGCAACAGAAATGACATAATGAATTGTACAATAACAATACTTTAAAATTATTTACTCTGTGTACAAGTTGATCAGGTTGCATGTATCTCATATCCATGGACAATTTAAATGTAGGCTGCTTAATAAATGTTGAGTTTTTGCAAAATAGGATTTATTTTGGCTTCTACTACTAAGCTTTAAAAAAGTCCTGAATAACAATAATTTATAAATTTATACTATGGGCCTTAATAATAAGATTTTGAGGATCAGACATTTCTTCCAAGATCTTAATTTTAAAGAGAGGGCAAGAATAGACTTCTTAAAAAGGCATGGCTGTAAAAGACCCCAATATCAGAACATTGGTAGATTATACGTAGTTTCTAGAAGAGTAACCTGAAAGATAGACATCAATGAATCACTTTTTATACTGGGCCAGATGACCAAAGCATAGGAATACCAGATATTAAAGCAAGTGCAACATGTTGAAAGGCTTCCTGGGTAATCTTTCTTCAAAGAACAATTATAATTAAAAAAAAAAACACAAAAGAAAACAATTATAATAATAAATGTCATTTATCTGGTCTCTTTATGTTAAGTATTCTATACCAAATGCTTTTTAGATATAATTGTCTTTTGAATCCTCATATAAAAACTGTGAGATGTAAGTATTTTTTTTATTTTTTTATTTTTTTTTTTGAGATGTAAGTATTTATTGCTCTCATTTTACAAATAAAGATGTATGAGAGAAAAAAAATGTCTAGACCTGTAACTATGAAGTGATAAAACTGGGATGAAAATCCGATTTTACCTGCCTTTAAACAGGCATGGAGGGTAGGGAGAGCTAGCTCATGCAAAAAAGTTTGGTGTTTGTAGTGCATTGTATTCTATATATATGTAAATATATGAAAATATATATTTAAAATATATAAAAATTTAATGACTTTATACTTAGATACTCTTAATTTTTATTTTTTTAGATTTTATTTATTTATTTGAGAGAGAAAGCGAGTCCAGGCAGGAGGCGGAACAGAGGGAGAGGGAGAAGCAGACTCTCTGCTGAACAGGGAGGGAACCCTATGCAGGGCTTGATCCCAGAACTCCAGGGTCATGTCCTGAGCCAAAGGCAACCAGATGCTTAACTGACTGTGCCACCCAGGCACCCTATACTAGGATATTTTAGATGGTAATAATGATATATTAACAGGGATATTGCAGGGGGACTCTTCAGCATTACTTGTTTTAATTAATTAGAATATATATATATATATATATATATATATATATATATATACACTATGGTCTCTGTATTCTGAGACATAGAAATCGGAAAAAAATCTAGAAAACAACATTGAAATAAGGATGGAAATAGTAGAAGAGGGTCTAAAATAAAAATAAGAGTTAAGGAATAATTTTGTTGCAGTATACAAAATAATAAGTTAAATTAGTTTTTCTTCCTGTTCTTTCAATTACAAAGCTGTAACTTTTTTTTTTTTACTATTATCAAACTAATAGTACTTTTTTTTTCTTCTTTAAGCCTCTCTATGGCTTACTTCAAGCAAAACTTCAGCTCATTACGCATGCATATTTTGAAGAGAAGGATTTTTCCCAAATTTCCATTCTAAAGGTAACTGTATCCCTCTATAGATATATTTGGCTGAAAACAAATTCAATGAATCAAATAAATCTTGTCAGTAATATTGTAAAGATAATATTATTACTTAAGAAAGACATTCTTCTTTGAAAATAACATTGACCTATGATCCAGCAATTGCACTACTAGGTATTTATCCTAAAGGATAGAGATTCAAAGGGGTACATGTATCCCAGTGCAGCATTATCAACAATAGCCAAACTATGGAAAAAGCCCAGACGTCCATCAACTGATGAATGGATAAAGAAGATGTGGTATGAAATCTTGCCATTTGCAACAACATGCATGGAGCTAGAGTGTATTGTACTAAGTAAAAGAAGTCTGAGAAAGCACCATATGATTTCAGTCGTATGTGGAATTTAAGAAACAAAATAAATGAACATATGGGAAGGGGAGGGGAAAAAGGGGAGAGAGGGAAACAAACTATAAGAGACCCTTCAGCCAACAAACTGAGGGTTGCTGGAGGGAGGTGGGTGGGGGGTGGGCTAGAAGGGTGATGAGGATTAAGGAGGGCACATGTGACTGAATTCTCCTGAAACCAATATTGCACTGTATGCTAACTAACTAGAATTTAAATAAGAATTTAAAAAGAAAAAAACCCACAAAAATTTGCAACTTGAAAAAAGAATATTGAAGGGCAATGAATCTACCCAAAATGTACAATCGATATTTATTAAATTTAACCACACTGCTTTTTATTAGGAAATAATGATTATAATTAACATAAGTGCTTCTATTAATGGAAAATAGCTCTTTTGCTAGGGCATTGCTTCTCTAAATTTGCTTGTCTTACTAATATACATGATATTAGTAACACATAATTAGTATACATAATATACTAACATACATGTTATGTTTATATATCAGTCTTCTGGTTCCAATCTCCCAACGCAAAAAAAAAAAAAAGAAAAAAAAAAAACAGAAACAGACTACATGACTGTTTTTCTAAAGATGGATGGCTTGTTTTTCTCTCGGCTGCCATTAATGTATGGAACATAGATCTCTCCTAGATTCTAGTGAGTATAGGACAATTAGGTGTTTGAATCCATACCATGTGAATGAACTAAGCTTTAAAATGAGGAGGAAGAGAAGAAGGGAGTACTGGAAACTGGTAAGGTTTCAGCGAGACCTCTACTGTTACTAAAGTTAGTGTCTAGCAAAACAAACTGCCTCAGGTAAAGAACCAGTTTTTTCCTGGTCATCATACTTCTAATTCAGTGTCTAAAATGATTGTAAAATGTTCTAAATTGAGTGTATATTTTATAGGAGCTTTATGAACATATGAATAGTTCCTTGGGAGGAACTTCATTAGAAGGATCCCAAGTGTATCTTGGTAAGTAGCTTTTTTACAAATCAGAAGCAATGTCCTCATTTCTTTTCATTTTCTAAACTGAGTCATTTGATTAACCGAGTTGCATGTAAAACTTTATAATCAAAGTTAAATTTCTGTATGAGATCTAAATTTAAATTCTTCGGTGTTTGATGTTGCTGCTTCCTTAAATATCTTCTTCACTAGTATTTGTATTAATTAAGATTATAACATAATTGTAGCAATCTTTAGAGCTATTATTGTATAAAGCAAAACTCTGCTTTTCAGAAGTATAACGGAAGTTTTTTCTTTTTATGGTAATGCTGCCCAAGTCAATTCCCTGTCATAACAGAGTGGGAGAGCAAGAGAGAGATCTGCTCAATTCTTTTCTGTGCTAAGATTTTTCAAGTTGGGAGCTGTGTATGATTTATGCTATTCTGATAATCCAGAATATTCATTGGTGTCCAAGGTACTCAGTTGACACTCAGTGAATACTCTTTTCATGATGAGAAACAAAGTTTGCGTCACACAGCGATTTATGCTCACTCAGTTCCTATTTTAGCATTAAGTAGCCAAATGGTGGTAGTTCACTTTTATAATCCTGTTATAAGTAAGCTGGTCACAAAACTCCTGAGAATATATTTTTCTCCGAGTTATTTTCTCTTGTCCTGTGGCAGATGATCAGAGAAGACTGTGATTTAGAAATAATAACTATGGAGTGTGGCAACCAAAAACCATGTTTAAATGATTGACTGCCACTACAGTATAAGCTTCATAATTTCTAAACTTGTATAATTTGTAAGATATTTGTAGAATGGGGAGAAAATGTTAGAGCTACATTGTCTATAACAATAGCCATTAGCCTCATGTAGCTATTTACATTTAGATTAGAATTAATAAAAATTAAATAAAGTTAAAAAGTCGTTTGTCAGTATACTTGCTACATTTCAAATATTCATTGGCCATATGTGGCTACTGTATTGGACAGTACAGATTTAGAACATTACCATTATTGTAGGAAGTTCTATTGCACCATGTTATATTTGACTGTTAACAATTATTTGATAAATTCTGAGTAAATGTGTACATAACCAAATATTACATAAATATTTTTATACTTACTATTCCTATTTTTACCTACCTTTCCTTTGATTGGAAGAAACTTTCTTTGACAAAACCCAGAGATTGTCATCACAGATTAGCTTTTTTATTAACATTGTAGGTCTGTCTCCTCGAGATCTTGTGCTTCATTTTCGACATAAGGTATGATACCTTATTTAATTTATAATGTACTAAAATTGTATTCATTTAATTGAGCAAATTCTGTATGCTACAAGGTCGAATGCAGATTGTGGAATACCATATTTTAGTTCTAAGACCGTTCTCATAATGATAAAATTTGAAAGTGTTGGTAGAGCTTATATGATAGAAATTTTGAAAGGTATAGGAATACTGTCTGTGCAGGGGTGGATACCTTTTTCTGTTGTCTTTGTAATTTCAGATGTCATGAAATTAGAATGGAAAGGAACATGTTTTAATCTTACAGAGTAGTTTACATGTTGCCCTGAGAGTGAAACATTTTCCAATAAAATATCTATACTTATGTCTTCTGATCTTTATTATTAAAGATATGTTGACTGGGACATACACAAATTGATCATTCATTTAACAAACATTTATTGCGTATCTACTATGTGAATGCCCTGGGCATCCAGAAATAAGTGAATTGTCCTTGCCCTTGAAGGAGCTTGCAGGTATTTCAAGCAAAATAACAACTCCTTCCAAAAAGCACAATTTGTTAAGTGGTTCTTCACTAATACATAATTTTTAGTTTTGCAGTATAAGTTCACAATTTTCAATGTAGTTTAAGCACTGTAGCTAATATTATTGAGTAAATCGATGTGATTATGTTGAGAAAGGGAAAAGGCAAATGAATAAGTGCTTGAGTTATGCTTGAGTTTCTTACTTTAACGCAATATTTTTTCTTTAGGTCTTAATCCTGTTTAAACTAATTCTTCTTGAAAAAAAGGTGAGATTTGAAGGAACAGTAACATTTGTTTGCTTTTTAAATATACTATGTAAAGTTAAAACTAATGGTAAAGTATAAACACTTTTTTGCCTGTTAAATTGTAGTAGACTAAAGCATATATTCTTGTTCAATAACACAGAATTATAAATTCATGTAGTCTTTTCTGGGGCCAGTTTAAACTGACCAAAATAATAAGGGAATGTATTGGGTTACTGCAGACTTCAAGGCTGATTGATTGAACCGATTCTACAATATAATTAAGTATCGAGATTTTTTTTTTCCCCATCTCTTTGCTCCACAGAGTGTAGTGCTAGCTTTATCCTGCACCTGGTTTCCTTTGTAGTGTAAGTTAACTGCCAACAGTAAGGTTTCAACTCAAGATATTGATTGCAGTGTTGTGACTCCAGCCCTGGGTCAAGGCTCCATGCTCAGTGGGGAGTCTGCTTGAGATCCTCTTCTTCTGCCCTTCCCTCCACTATTGCCGACACTCATACTCTCTAAAATAAATAAATAAGGTGGGACAACTTGGTGGCTCAGTTGGTTAAATGGCCGACTCTTGATTTAGGCCCGGGTTTTGATCTCAGAGTCATGGGATCAGCCCTCCACCCCCACCCCCTGGACTCTGCTCAGCGCAGAGCCTGCTTGTCCCTCACCCTCCCCATCTGCTGCTCACCCTGCTTGCTAGTGCGTTCTCACTCTCTCTCTGAAATAAATGAATAAAATCTTCAATAAGTAAATAAAATCTTTAAAAAAAGTTGGTGGTAGTGATAATACCTATTCCCAAACCATTTAATAAGAATCTTCCTTTCAATTTGTTTAGACACATGAGGCCATGTGTCTGGAGTGAACAAATAGTTACCAAAGAAGTGCATATACTGGTTGGTTTAAACTTGAGTTCCAGATCATTCTCTAGTACAAAAAGATAGAATTGCCATGATTTTAGACCAAGGGTGTGCAAACTAGGCCCCGGGACCAAATATGGCCCACTATCTATTTTTATAATGTTTTATCAAAACATAGTTATACACATTCATATACTTATTGCTTATGGCTGCTTTTGCACTATAGTGGCAGAGTCAAATAGTTGTGACAGAGACCATATGTATCACCTACAAAGGAAGAATACTTAATATTTGACCCTTTATAGAAAAAGTTTACTGACCTCTGGTTTAGACTAATAAGGAACCACCCTTGGATATGGGGCCAGTTTTATATACTATATTACTGTGCTAAGTGGAGTAGGGCTAGAATGGATGTTGGAAAGTCAGCCATTTATAATGTCAGTTGTGGTTTGTTACCTTAAAAATATCTATTTGTGGGGATCCCTGGATGTGACTCAGCGGTTTAGCGCCGCCTTCAGCCTGGGCGTGATCCTGGAGACCCGGGATCAAGTCCCACGTCGGGCTCCCTGCGTGGGGCCTGCTGCTCCCTCTGCCTGGGTCTCTGCCCCTCTCTCTCTCTGTGTCTCTCATGAATAAATAAATAAATCTTTTTTAAAAAATTTATTCGTTTGGCACAGTAGTTCTCATATTTATTTTCCAGAATTAATGTGAGTTGGACACAAAGCTCCATCTAAGATATTCTGTCACAGAATAATTTATAATAATGAATTATCAGTGAATAAGTACTGGTTCTCCTTGTATATTCTACATGATTCAAATGATTAAAGAGATTCGGAGGGTTTTTTTGTTGTTGTAATGATGTTTCATTGAATGTTAAGTGAAAAGTTTATCCAAGTACATATCAAGCCCATGATCCCAATTTTACAAGCAAATATTCATTTAAAAAGAGACAAGAAGGAAAGACATCAACAGTTTGGTGAGAATATACGTTATATTTTTTTTTTTTTTAATTTATTTATGATAGTCACAGAGAGAGAGAGAGGCAGAGACACAGGCAGAGGGAGAAGCAGGCTCCATGCACCGGGAGCCCGACGTGGGATTCGATCCCGGGTCTCCAGGATCGCGCCCTGGGCCAAAGGCAGGCGCCAAACCGCTGCGCCACCCAGGGATCCCTATACGTTATATTTTTTATATTAAAGATTTTATTGATTGATTTAGAGCATGAGCAGTGGGAAGGCAGAGGGAGAGGAGGAGAGAAATTCTCAAGCAGACTCAGCACTGAGTGCAGAGCCCAACACAGGGCTCAGTCTCAAGACCCTGAGATCATGACCTGAGCCAAAATCAAGAGTTAGACACACTTAACTGGTTTAGCTATCCAAGTGCCCCTAGGTTATATTCTTAAGAAGGAAATATGTTTCTAGTTTTCTGTAAAACCATATGTATTTCTTCTTCAAAGAGAAAAAAAATGTTTTTCAAATGAATGAATCTAACATATGTGCAGTGTTTTAACTTTTTAAAGTTTTTAGGGGTGCCTTGGTGGCTCAGTCTGTTGAACGTCTGCCTTTGGCTCAGGTCATGAACCCCGGTCCTAGGATCAAGCCTTGCATCAGGCTCCCTGCTCAGCAAAGACCCTGCTTCTGGGATCCCTGGGTGGCGCAGTGGTTTAGCGCCTGCCTTTGGCTCAGGGCACGATCCTGGAGACCCGGGATCGAATCCCACGTCGGGCTCCCGGTGCGTGGAGCCTGCTTCTCCCTCTGTCTGTGTCTCTGCCTCTCTCTCTCTGTGTGACTATCGTAAAAAAAAAAAAAAAAAAAAAAAAAAAAGACCCTGCTTCTCCTTCTGCCTCTGCCTGCCACTCCCGTTTGTGCTCTCTGTCAAATAAATAGATAAAATCTTTTTAGAAGTTTAAAAGTTTTTTTTAAAAAAATAAGGTTTTTAATTGTAAAATACACGAAACACCTAATTTACCATCTTTTTTTTTTTTAAGATTTATTTATTTATTTATGATAGACATAGAGAGGCAGAGACACAGGAGGAGTGAGAAGCAGGCTCGATGCACCAGGAGCCCGATGCGGGACTCGATCCCGGGACTCTAGGATCGCGTCCTGGGCCAAAGGCAGGCACTAAACCGCTGAGCCACCCAGGGATCCCCCCTAATTTACCATCTTAACCAGTTTTAATTGTATAGTTGAGTGGCACTGAGTATATCCACATTGTTGTGCTGTCATCATCATCCAATCACAGACTCTTCATTGTGCAAAGCTAAAACTAACTCCCAGATTTCCTCTCCCCACTGACAGTGACCCTTCTACTTATGGTTACTACGAATTTGTCTACTCTGAGTTCCTTATACAAGTGAAATCATGCAGTATTTGCCTTTTTGTGACTGGCTTTTTGTATTAAGCATAGTGTCCTCAAGTCTGATGCATGTATATCACGTGTCAGAATTTCCTTCCTATTTATTTATTTATTTATTTATTTATTTATTTATTTATTTATTTATTTATGATTTTGTTTATTTATGAGAGACACATAGAGACAGAGACATAGGCAGAGGGAAAAGTAGGCTCCATGTAGGGAGCCCAATGTGAGACTTGATCCCAGGCCTCCAGGATCACGCCCTGGGCTGAAGATGGCGCTAAACCTCTGAGCCACCCAGGCTGCCCTCCTTCCCTTTAAAAAAAAAAAACAAAAAAACAAAAAAAAACTGAGTGATACTCATTGTATGTACATACTACATTTTGTTTATCCCTTTGTCCTTTGATGGATATCGGGTTGCTTCCACCTTTTGGCTCTTATGAATAATGCTTACTATGAACAATGGTATGCATACATCTCTTCAAGACCCTGCCTCCAATTCTTTTGGGTATATACCCAGAAGTGGTATTGCTAGAGATGGTAGTTCTATTTTTAATTTTTTTGAGCAATCCCCATACTGTTTCCATAGTGGTTGCACCATTTTACATTCCTGCCAACAGTGCACAAGGTTTCCATTGTCTCTACACCTTTACCAATACTTGTTATTTTTTAGTTTTTTGATAGTAGCTGTCCTAATAGGAGTGAGATGGTATCTCCTGGTCTTGATTTGCATTTCCCTAACGGGTTGTAATGTTGAGCACCTTTTTGTGTGCTTGTTGGTCATTTGTATGTCTTCCTTGAAGAAATATATGTTCAATCAGGTTTGGGGGCTTTTTTGTTTTGTTTTTTGCTTGTTGAGTTGTAGGTTTCAAACTTTGTTATTGCAGTTTATAATAAAAGTGTTTTACATTGCAATCCAGAGCACACATGGGCATACAAATCTGAAACAAAAGTCTTGCAAAATAGTACTTAGCCTAGCTACATGTAGTGGCATTTATGATCACATAACTTTAATGTGGCAAATCACAGGTACCCTTTGTATATTGATTTGATGAAATAAGGATGCCCTTTAATGCAACCCTTGGTTTCTCTGTACTTGCAAAGCACTCCTTAAGTAAGATCATTCTGTAAGGAAAACTGAAAACTGTGGGTGCTGTGCTCTGTCAAATAGCACTTCAGTGTCACTAAATGATTTAATTGTTTAAAAAAGGAAAAAAAAATCACTAAGCAAATCTTTTGCTTGTTTTTTCAACTAATTTAATGTGTTAGCTTTAATGCAACATCTAATCCTATTTTTTTTTTCCATTTTTAATCATGAAAAATGTTGAACCTACAGAAAAGTTGATAGAATACCATAATGAACTTTTACACATTTGATTTGTATGTGTCGGTAACATTTTGCTACTTTTACATTATATTGCTTTATATATATGTTCATTTTCCCCCCACCCCGAATCCTAATAATTTTAAAGTCATGGTACTTCACCCCTAAACACTTTAAGATTTTTTTTTTACAAGATTGTATTTATTTATTTGATGGGAGAGAGAGAAGGAGAACAGGAGTGGCCAGGGTAGGGGGCAGAGGGAGAGGAGGAAGCAAGTTTCCCACTTGAGCAGGGAGTCTGACACAGGGCTCAATCTCAGGAACCGAGATCAAGACCTGAGCCACTAAGGCACCCCAGGATGTATTTCTTAAGAATAAGAATATATTCCCATATAACCAAGAAACCGTTTTCACATTCAAGAAGTTATAACATTTGTACAATAAATGATATCTAATATGCAGTCCATTTTCAAATTTCTTCAGATGTTTTAATAATATCCTATAAACTGGTTGTTTCACTCTGGGGACGAAGGATCATGTATTGCCTTGCCTTGTGGTTCTCTTTAATCTCAAGCAGCTCTACCACCTTGTTCTTTTTTTGTTGTTGTTTCTTTCTGTTTTTTTTTTTTTTAAGAATCTAGACTAGTTAAATTAAAAGATTAGATTCGTCTGATTATTTTCTTTTGGCTAATTTCAGATTAAACTTTTGGGGCAAGACTGCTATACAAGTGGTGGTGTGTCCTCAGAGTTATCACACCAGGAAGCCCATAACTGTTTGTAGTATTATCAGTGATGTGAAACTTGATTATTTGATTAAAGCGATAGTCCCCAGATTTCTTCATAGTGAAGTACTTTGCAACTAATAGCTAATCTATGGGCTGATAAATTTGAAGCTATGTGAATGTCCTATTGCCCAACAACTTTTCACAGTAGTTTTAGCTTCTGTTGTTAATTTTTAACTGAATCATGATGGAGGTTTGGTAATTTTTTTTTATTCTTTCATTAATGATATGTTTATTAGCTTGTTATTCTTTTGTAAAGAATTTTTCCTTTTCTACACTCCCCCTTTTTTTATGTTGTAGATTCATGAATATTCTGATTTAATTTTGATTTAATCCATTTCAGGTTCTCTTTTATATTTCTCCAGTGAATAAATTGGTGGGTGCCCTGATGACTGTATTATCCCTTTTTCCAGGTAAGAGGGTGACAGTATCTACTCTTCCTATCATTTAACTTATACTCGAACTTTCAATGATAAAAATTTTTGGGAATAAATTTGTTAGGGATAACATTTCTATTTTAACATGATTTTCTTTTGGCAAAGGGTCTCTCTATTTTATATGAGATTTCTCTCTTTTTTAATTATAACATGTGCAGGTATAACTTTTAATATTTTTATAGGAGACTTCCACTATTTAGAATGGAATATGCAGTTCTTACTTTTTCTCACCTTATTGTAAGCCAAGCTCTTCTATTGTGTGTTGTAGGCATGATTGAACATGGTCTCAGTGACTGTTCTCAGTACAGACCCCGAAAGAGTATGTCTGAAGATGCTGCGCTTCACGAAAGTAATCCCTCTGCAAATGATTTTCTTTCTATGTCTGCTCCTGACATTTCAAATACCAACTCAGGAACTGTTAAGAAAATTATAACAGGAAGCCATGGAGGAGATGTTGGCATCAAGACCGAAGAACCATTGCTCCAAATAGAAGATGACAGCAGCAAAGGACAAGAACCCGATGATACTAGTCAATATTTGAAACCTCCTTCCCGCCCATCTCCAGAGTCTTCAGAAAGTGACTGGGAGACCTTGGATCCTAGTGTCTTAGAGGACCCTACCTTGAAAGAAAGGGAACAGGTTGGGTCAGAACAGACAAACTCATTTCCAAAGGAGTCTTTACCCTCAGACAGTCCTCCAATTACTGTACAACCTCAAGCTAACACGGGCCAGGCGGTCCTGATACCAGGGCTAATTTCTGGTTTGGAAGAGGACCAATATGGCATGCCCCTGGCCATCTTCACAAAGGTAAAGTTTAGTGTGTGCTTAAGATTTATTTATTTATTAGAGAGTACATACATGAGTGGGGGCGGGGGGCGGAGAGGGAGAGGCAGAGGGGGGAGGAGAAATTCAGAATCTCAGGCAGACTCCCCACTGAGCCAGGAGTCCATTGGGATGCTCAGTTTTACAACCCTGAGATCATGACCTGAGCAGAAATCAAGAGTTGGATGCTTAACTGACCGAGCCACCTAGGTTCCCCTAGTGTTCCTTATTGAGGCCCTTAAAGAATCTGACAACCCTTGTATTTTTTTTTTTTAAGACTTATTTATTTTTCTGAGAGGAAAGTAGGGGAGGGGCAAAGGGAGAGAATCCTCAAGCAGATTACCCCTGAGTTTGGAGCCCAACACAGGGCTCGATCCCATAACCCATGAGATGATGACCTGAGCCAAAACCAAGAGTTGGATGATCAACCAACTGAGCCACCCAGGTACCCCCCTGACAACCCTTTTAGAGTTTAACTTAGAGTGTTGAACACATTTTCAGGTCTGAAAATTTGCCTTGAAAACTGTAAAATACATACCAAATGTATAGTGTTTCATATGCCAGATACCATACTAAGCTATAAATTCTTATACCCATGAACTTGCACTCTACCATGAAAGACAGATACATCTTTCTGGTAACTAGAGCAAAGTTTTATGGTTTCTCTAAATACCATGCTTTATGCATGAAGTAATAAAACTATGTGAAAAAGAAAGATGGGTAGTATTGACCTGAACATGTATTTCTTCCTCTGTGATAAATTCTTTCTCAGTTTATCAAGCTTTACAAATAAGTATTTGCCCCAACTCAGTATTGCAGTATAGTTAACAGAGAATGCTTTGTTCATTTTGTGGCCTGATGGGGGATTCTGAAATTATCTTACTTTGTTTTATGATTGAATTAATGCACAGTTTCTTAAAACTGGGATTTAGAAACTTAGGGAGAAAACACAGGGCACGCCAACTGTTGGTTATGGTTGGTAGCCACCAGTTACAGGTTTTCTGAACTCACATGTGGGTGTTAGGACTGCCTGTATTTGTTGAAGCCCTTTCTTGGGTGTTTCACCCACCCTCTAATTTTTATCGTGTGGACATATCAAAAGGGCAATTAACTGGGGAGGGATTTTGTTTTTGTCTATGAGGTTGCTGAATTAAAGCAATGTAAACATATATTTTGTGGGCTGCCAATGAACCATGTTTGGCAGAATTTTCTATTTGTATACATTATGCCACTACTGAATGTATGATACCATCATCGTTATGGTAAATAAAATGTTTTTCTTTTTGGTTCTATGTTTTATTATACACTGATTAAAATCTAATTTGTTATTCAATCACAATTGTAAATACAAGTACTGATTCTTTTATGTCAGTAACTTTGGAGTATGAAATACTCTTTTATTGAAGTATAGTTGACATAATGAAATATTCTTAAAACTGAATTGCCTTTAGGCTTTTTTTTTTTCCTCTCTTGAAGATCATAAAGGACTTCTACAGAAGGAATTAGGCTAGCCAAACAGCTTAAAGTAATTTTAAAAATAGCCAGAGAGAAGCTAGGGTGCCTGGAGAATATTGTTGAAGGTAGGATATTGAGCTTTGAAGAGAATAAGCTGACTAGTCCCTTGACTCAGTGAACTTATACATAATAAAACATTTCTGTCTAGAAGATATGCCCCAGCTCTCCAGCTTTCCAGTCTTCTCCCTGATACTTGAAATTACTGGAGGAGGATGCCTTTCATGTCAGTTTTAGAAATGAGCTTTACTTAGTCAATACTATGGATACCAGATGCTGAAATATACTTAAACCTGTCCTAGGAGCTGATTTGGGAAGTGTAGGGAAAAACTGGAGTGCAGAGGGAGAGGAGATAGGATGGAGGCAGCTTTCGAGTCCAGTGCCCACAGGGGGAAGGGTAAGAACTAGGGGAACCAAAGGAGAAGGAGGAAAATTAGAAAACTCTCCCATGTGATATGTGTGCTCTGCTGAACTCTACCACTTTAAAACCAGAGAAATGTTGGAGTGAGGGAGATAGAAGAATGAGGGAAATAGACGAGAGCTAAAGAGGAAGTTGGGGTAACTATTTTCAGATGTGAAAAACAGTCCTGAGGGCTTTTCTTATGCTTTCCTGATTTTAAATCTTCCTACCAATTCCTACTGGAATTGGCCACACACTGGAGCAAAGCCATTACAGTAGAGCCATTACAGTAGGACCGGCCAGAAGGCCTAGAGCCTTGGGAGTTAAGGTTCCCACTTGCTTTAATCTCATGATTTCTCTTTTCTAGTTATGAGGCAATACTTATTATTTGGTAAAAATTAGTTGGACCTTACCATAAATGGAACTCTGATGAAAAATCACCTTGATTGAAGTAACTCTTAATTGAATACAAAGGATTTTTATTTTTAGTACTTAAGGGGTAGGAAAAATGATTTTAGGTAATCACTAAAAAAAATTATTTTTGAGTCTATTAGTTTTTTTAAAAAGATTAGCTACTTAGTTTTGTCATTTTGGTTTTTGTTTTTAAAGATTTTACTTATTTTTGAGAGGGAGAGAGAGCAAGAACACAAGTGGAGGAGGGTGGTGAGGAGCAGAAGAGGGAGTAAGGGGGGGAGGGAAGATCTCAAGCAGACCCCACACTGAGCCTGTCCCCGTGTGGGGCTTGATCCCATGACCCTGAGATCATGACCTGAGCCAAAATCAGAAGTCAGCCATTTAACCAACTGAGCCACTCAGGTGCCTAATACAATTTTTAAACATACAATTTAGTAGTGTTATGTTCACATCACTGTGCTATAGATCTCCAGAAGTTTCTCATCTTAAACTGAAACATACATTATTTATCTTTTTGTGACTGGCCTGTTGAACTTAACCTAATTTCTCAAGGTTCATCCATACTGTAACATAGGTCACCATTTCTGCCCTTTTCAAGGCTGAATAATATTCCGTTGTATGTATATATCACACTCTGTTTATCCAACCATCTGTCAGTGGACATCTGGATTGCTTCCACACTTTGGCTATTGCAAATGCTGCTGCTGTGAACATGGGTGTGCAAGTAATGAATGTTTCAGGGTTTTTTTGTTTGTTTGTTTTGTTTTTTACTATTATATTACTGTAGCTCCAAATATGGAAATTAAAGTACTCTAGAAAAGTGAAAAGCCAGAAGTGGGCTTGAGTGTGGAGGCTGTTTATGTTTATGGAGGGTGCACCGTACTCTTGTTGCTACCATACAATAAGGGATTTTTTAAAATTTAAGAAAAATAGACCATTGTTTAAAGAAATTACAACATGGGGCACCCGGTAGCTCCATCCATTGAGGGACTGCCTTTGGCTCAGGTCATGATCTCAGGGTCCTAGGATCCAGCCCCATGTGGGGCTCCCTGCTCAGTGAGGAGCCTGCTTCTCCCCACCACTGATGCTTTCTCTCTCTCTCTCTCTCTCTCTCTCTCATAAATAAAAATCTTATATGTATATAAGTATGTATACTTTTTTAAAAAAGTAACTGACACAATTTTAAGGTTATTTTGAAATATTTTAAGTTTGTAAATATGTAATACTTTCACATGGTTCTAAAGTATCTATAAAATGTCTCCCTTTCATTCCATCCCCTGCTACTCAGATGCTCTCTCCTCCAATAGTAACCAGCATTATCAGTGTCTTCTGTTTTTCTCTGGGGGTATTTTATGCATACACAATGTATAGATATTCTCCCTCCTTTTATACACAAATGGTAGAAAACTATTCCCCACTTTAATACCCCTTATTCTTTTTTTATCAAATACTCCTTGGAAGTGAATTTCATCACTCCTAATTGCTGCTGGATGTTCCATTGTACAGATGACTGATTTATAAGAAGTAGAATGCTGGTCAGAGAGCATGTGTATAGTTTCTTAAGGAATGTAATTTTTTATATTTCTAAATTTTTTTTTAATTTATTTATGATAGTCACAGAGAGAGAGAGAGAGGCAGAGACATAGGCAGAGGGAGAAGCAGGCTCCATGCACCAGGAGCCCGACGTGGGATTCGATCCCGGGTCTCCAGGATCGCGCCCTGGGCCAAAGGCAGGCGCTAAACCTCTGCACCACCCAGGGATCCCAATTTTTTATATTTCTAAAGTGTTGAACTATTGATTTTTTTTTACAACATACTTTTACAACATATAGAGAGCATTCAATATTGTAGTATTTATGTTTAGAAATAGATATTTGAGTGCTGGGGGAGTCTATTGTTTTTAAGTATGTAGCTCACAAAGTAAAGCATGACCCCTTGAGCTTTAAACCAGCTGAGTGATCCTGAATGAGGGGCGGGGGCTGGAGGGGAAGTGTCTTTTCAGCCTTTAGTCCCAGGAGGGGTGTGGGTTGAAAAGGACCGTACTGAGTATCTCTAATGCATGGACACAGTTTATTTTTGCGGCCTCTATTGGTTAGCATTTTACAGAACACAGGATGATTGTCAAGAAAAAGAATAAAACCAGGTTATTGGACCTATATTCCAACTTTTAGAAGTCTTCTCTCCCATATTAAGTACTTAACCACCTGTTAGGCACAACACATATTCTGGGATGTGGTAAAGAACATGAAGTAGCAAAATAGATGTCTCCTACACTCTCATGTGGTAATATAACATATCATCCAGAGGATGCTATCTAGTTCAGTGGGGGTTTTTTAAGTGATGAAAAGTTTAAAAAAAAAAAAAAAAGAAGAAGAAAGAAACTCAAGTCACAGGACTTGAGATTGAAAACAAGTGTGCCCTCTTGGCTTCATACACAAGTTATGCCACTTGGAAATCTGTCTTGATTAGAATCTCCCAAAAGAAGTGCCATATCCTCCTTCACAGCATCATTGAAGTGTTAACATCTTTATTCTCTGGAAATTTGTACTGTGCTTTGGCAATTCAAATACAATTTTCAGGGCTGTATTTTCAAATACAATCCAAATAGAAGTTAATTAAATATACAGTTATTGCTAGTGTGGTTTTTGTTTGTTTTTTGTTTTAAACATTTACTAGCAAATATCTTGAAATATTTTTGCATGATTTTCAACAACAGGGCAATAAAACAAATGCCATGCAAGTGCTTTGCTATTCTTATAACAGTATGTTGGTGGTTTTGTGTTTTCAAATTTTCCTGAAAGAACTAACAACTTTCTGCTAAACAACATACTTTTTCGTGGGCTTAAAACTTCATTTCCCAAATAAAAAAGTCCAATTCCTTAGTTACTGTGGAGGCTTTTGAATTGAACTGAGAACAAAATGATCAAGTAAGATAGTTTTCATGTTAGACCACCCCTCATGTAAAAGGTGAGCGATTAACTGGACTCAGTGCAGTCAAGACCTGAAGTTCCCCTGAAATTGTACTGTAGTGAGTCAAAGATGAACTCTGTTACAGAGATCCGGCAACGGACGAGATCCGGAAGTTTCATTTCCTAGTATTAGCTCTCTAGGCTTGAGCAGAGAAGTGGCTGTCCTATTACTTTTCTGATGCTATCTCTCACTCTTGTGATTCTTAGGGATATCTGTGTTTGCCTTATATGGCATTGCAGCAGCATCATCTTCTCTCTGATGTCACCGTCCGTGGATTCGTTGCTGGGGCTACTAACATCCTTTTCCGACAACAGAAGCACCTCAGTGATGCTATTGTGGAGGTGGGCTTATGTATGAGCGTGTGTCCTTGACACTGCTGGTCCCTGTTTTTCTTTCTTAACTGGAATTCTGACAGCATAGGAATGACACTAATAAAGGTAAAAATTCCTGTGCCGGCATTCTGTGCACCTTAGGTATATTAACTGATCCGATTCTTCTAACAGCCTATGAGATAGGCATTATTGCTATTCCTAAACGAGTGGAAGCTAAGGAGCAGAGAGATCAAATGGCTAGTAAGTGGGTGAGCCAGGATTGCTTAATATGTTCCTGATACCAGGAAGAAGGAGCTACAGATAAATATTTGACATCAGCATATGAGAAATTTAAATCATGTGTTCAGTTTTACAATTGAAAGAATTTTTTAAAAAAGGAAATTTCACCCACCATAGGTTTTTATAGATTCTAATAGAAATTACCAAAACATGCTTCGTGGGAAAATGAATAATGAAATGAAAAATATGGGATCCCAATTTTAAGGAAGAAAAATAAGTTCATACCTTCCAAGGCAGAGGGTACAGATGGAGGAACCACAGAGTAGCTTCAACATTACTGGTTACATTCTGGTTCTAAAAAGTAGGTTGATGGGTTCATGGGTATGTGTGTATTACTTCAAACTAACCTGTAGGTTACGTATATCTCTTTGTATATCACATGTTAATAATAAGAATATTCCATAGTATCTGTGGGCTCAAAGAATTTTTAGGAATTATACTTACTAACCATTATAATTCATTTCTGGTTGTGTGACAAAAGTGATTTTTAATACACATTTCTGTTTTCCAAGATTATTTACAATCAACAGGAGTTACTTTTATAATTCAAAATTAAATATTTATGCATATATTTTCTAAAAACAAAATGAGTATTTTTTTGAGGATTTTTTAAATAGAGAAAAAAAACACTTCAGTGTAAAAACCTCTTTCTTAGCCTCACATTTTGAGAATTCTGTTATTCATATTTTTTGTTTTCAGCTTCAGCTTCCCAGTAGTTACTTTTTAAAGTGTGGCATGGATGTCTGCATGAATGCCCAGACTCTGATTTGTACCTGGATACCCTCTAGGTAGAAGAAGCTCTGATCCAGATCCATGATCCAGAACTCAGGAAGCTGCTTAACCCAACTACTGCAGACCTCAGGTTCGCAGATTACCTGGTGAGGCACGTGACTGAGAACCGGGATGATGTCTTCCTAGATGGCACAGGCTGGGAGGGAGGCGATGAATGGATCCGAGCCCAGTTTGCTGTCTACATCCACGCGTTGCTGGCTGCCACACTGCAGTTAGGTAAAGAGCACACAGCCACTTATTCCTTTTGTAATCTTTATGAGGTTTTGAATTGCATAAGAAATATTTTCATATAAAATAATCTGTTACTTCCTCATACAGAGATAACTGCTCTTAGCATTTTGAGTACTTTATATCCTTCCAAACCTTTTTCTATATATTTTTTTTATTTTAGTTTTGTGTTATTTGTGGTGATCCTTTTACAAAAATGGTTGCTGTTCCAAATGTTTTTTGAAACTTCGTTTTTCTTTATAATAGAAACAAACATACTGAGACAGTAAATGGAGGTCTTTGGCACTTTTACATGGCTGCTTAGTGTTTCACCATATGGGAGGAGGATATGTCAGTATCTGGGGGGTATTTATAAAAACTGCTTACATGTTTTTGAGATGTGTAAAAGAGAATCATGAAAGATAGAAATCACTGGGAATCACATTCCAAGTGATTAAACCTTCAAATTGCCCATTCAAAGAAATGTTATTCCCATTCAGTGGTGAAAATAGAGCAGGGAAAGATAGACTTACTCTTCTATTAAAACTATTTTGTTCCCCATAGAGAAGGAAATCTACAAAAAGAGAAAATGAAGGTCTGCAGTGAGCTTTTGCATGTGGCTGCCTACCATCATGGACATGTAGCAAATACTCAGATTTTGTTGTTGTTAAGAGTGCTGAACTTTTATTTTTTCCTTTTTTTTCAATTATCTCTACCACTGTGTGGGAGAAGTTATTAAAAATGCGGTGAAATACACATAACCTAAAATTTCTCATCGTAGCCGTTTATAAATACATAGTTCCACAGTTGCATTACGTACATTCACATTGTCCTGTCAGTAGATGTTTGAATCATCCCCAGCACTGTCACCTCCCAGGTTAGTTCTTTGTGAAGGTAGGTGTGGCGTTTGAAATCCAGGCTTCTGAGTGTGTCCTTCATTTGTAAAGAAAAGCTCTGGAGCAAGTCCTTATTTGTTAATGGGATATTTTTAAATATTTGCCTCTTCTACAGTTGTAGTAGCTGAGACAACAAGATTTAAATGCTCTAGTTCAGAATCATTCAATAGTCTAGTAAGAAAATCCCAATTTCTACCAATCATATTAGCTTCATGAGTAATTTACTTTTTAAACCTATCTGCCTGGGTAGTTGTGAGTCCTGAATAATAATAGTAACTAGCCTTTTGGGGGGTGGGGGGAACATTTCATATGTGAAAGGACCTGTTTTGTTTTGAGCACTTTACTTTTACTAACTCATTTCATCCTCACAACAATTCTGGAGGTAAGACCGTGTTCTCTTCGTTTTATAGGAGAGGCACTGAGCACAGAAAGGTTAAGTAGCTTTCTCATCCCTCTGGTCGAGACTGAGCTGTGATTCAAACTCAAATAATCTGGCTCAGGCCTATGCTGCTGTTAAAAGGAGATTCAACCTAGGGAGCTATTTGAGAAATCCATTCCTAAAAGAAATAGCTTATGTTGCATTTCGAGCCATGTGTATCCTCTTTCCTTCCCAGCAACAAAAGTCACTTTTCACCTTCAAAGCAAGAAACTTACAATCAGTATATGAAGCAAAAACCATTTGAACTCATTCTCCAGACCTTTTCTGTTCTTCTAAGCAGAAGAAATACTCTGCATTAAAACTTCCCCATGATCATGAAAAAGCTGAAGAGTTAACGTTAAATATGAAATGTCCCGGGCAGCCCGGTGGCACAGCAGTTTAGCGCCGCCTGCAGCCCGGGGCGTGATCCTGGAGACCTGGGATCGAATCCCACGTCGGGCTCTCTGCATGGAGCCTGCTTCTCCCTCTGCCTGTGTCTCTGCCTCTCTCTCTCTCTGCATCTCTATGAATAAATTAAATAAATAAATAAACAAACAAACAAACAAACAAACAAATAAATAAGAAATCCCCCCCCAAAAGAAAATTCCCTTGTTGTTTAAGTATTTTGACAGTGAAATGTATGGAAATTACACAGTGAATTTCACCAAATAGTGAGATAAATTCCAAAGAAGAAAAAAACAGTGACTAAAAGAACCAATTCGTGTATTCATTCTAATTTTTTTAATAGAAAAATAACATTTGTGAAAAGATAGTAAGACACTCTAATTGCCTATTCCATACATATACATCAGTATCTTTACTCACTGTCCAGTCTACAGTTTTTGCTTAGTAGATACTACTATGCCTCCTAAACTTGGTAAGGAGAATTGGAAATATTTTGGAATTGTAAGGAGCCTTAGAATATATCTGGCTCAACCCTCTTACTTTCTGGTTAGGAAAATGAAGCTTTGAGTGATTAAGTGACTTGCCAAAGGCCACATAGCTTCTTAACAGGATTTCTGGCCAAGTTCCCTGATATCTGGTAGGCTATCTCCCCCAAAAAGCATGGGGTGGGGGGATAAAGCCATTTCTTTACCCGTTTTGGTGAGGAAGCTTCACATCCCTGACTGGCTACAGTCCAGCTCAACTTTCAAATATTTACTTGACAGATAATGAAAAGATATTATCGGACTATGGGACAACCTTTGTTACAGCCTGGAAGAACACTCACAACTACAGGGTGTGGAACAGCAACAAGCATCCGGCACTTGCGGAAATAAATCCGAAGTAAGCACATCCTCTAAGGATTGATAGTACATAACGTGGTCGATTTACTGCCTCAGTATAAAGAAGATCGTATCTTAACTTTGATGACAATGTGAATATCTCCAAAAATCTCCTTAAATAGATTGAAAAATCCCAGATACAGAGAAGCAGCTGAAAACTGCTTCCCTATTCCTACTTCTTACACAAAAAGCTCAAAACGTTTTTGGAAGGATTAACATTTCTCCCAGCTCTTGGCATAATTCAGAAGAGGAAGTCTGGCACATGGCAATGTTAAGTGCATGATAGTTGTCTCCCTTTCCCTGGATCTGTACGTTAGCAGAATGGTCAAACAAGATAGAAACTTTGAAGGAATACCACTGGTGGAGACTCTGAGGTTATTTTAAAATATGAAGTGTAAAAAAACTAAAGGCGATATTTGAACTCCTAGGTATGTGGTCAAACCCAAGTTTCCAACTTAGATTCTAAAATCCCAACAAAATTTAATACCTGTCACAATACTGAATGTTGACAGACTTTATCCATGTAGGCATAAAAGACATTTAAATGTGTGGAGTGCCACTTTTGTGAAGCATGCTATCTTTGTTTGAATGGAACAGAGTAGAAACTAAGGCGATCTCTCCATTGGTGGAATATGTATGTAGTTCTCCCCTTACCTGCAGTTTCAGTTACTCAGGGTCACCTGCAATCCTGAAGCAAATGATCCTTTTTGTGACATGTCATCAGAAGGTCAGTAGCAACCTAATGCATCACAATTCTTAACGTCCTTCACCTCCCTTCATCTCATCACTGGGTATTTTATCATCCCACATCATCATAAGAAGAGGAAGGGTAGGGACGCATGGGTGGCTCAGTGGTTGAGCATCTGCCTTTGGCTCAGGACCTGAACCCAGGGTCCGGGATCGAGTCCCACATCAGGCTCCTTGCAGGGAGCCTGCTCCTTTCTCTGCCTGTGTCTCTGCCTTTCTCTCTGTGTCTCTCATGAATAAATAAATAAAATCTTAAAAAAAAAAAGGAGGAGGAAGGATAAGTACAGGGCAATAAGATATTTTCAGAGAGAAAAAAAGAAAGACTACATTCACATAACTTTATTACAGTATATTCTATTTTATCATTAGTTAATCTCTTGCTGTGCCTAATTTAAAAATTAAACTGTATTGTAGAAAGAAAAAAAAACCTGTATTGTAGGTATGTATGTTATAGGAGACAGTATACATAGAGTTCGGTATACTATCTGCAGTTTCAGGCACCCGTTGGAAGTCTCAGAATGTGTCCTCCAAAGATAAGGGGGAACTACTATACATCCTAGGAACTTATCTTCTAAATTAAATTATTAAAGTGATTTTTTTTAAATACAAGTCTACGCTGAATGTTTTCATTTGTATTTTAAACTTCTTGGTGAGAGTCGGACAGAAAGCAACTTCGTGCTGACTACTGTATTTTTTGGGAGCTGGAGTTAAGTTAATTAGACTGGGGATGTGATTTAAGTGGTAGAATAAAGAATATTCCCCCCCACACACACACACACACACACACAAAATCCAGATATTTATGTCATAGTAACTTGGGGAGGCATCTGCAAGGATGAAATGTAGCAGGGTTTTAAAGAACATATCTGTTAAACTTTATATCATCTATCAGGAAAAATGACTAGGTTCGGCAACAATTTTGGTGAGTTTAATCATCACACTGGGCTATAGCAGAAACCTCTATTGGCATTTAAATGTGGTAAAAACATAGAGAATTAAAAGGCAAAAACATCTTAATAGTATTAAATGAGAGACCTAAGAGTTCAAAGTATTCTCCGTCACTAACCACAAGGTCTGTGTTTTAAAGAGTGATGAAGGAAAACAGATGTGAGTTTGTTTGCCTGGTGGCCCTCACTGTGACGGGGGTGGGGTGGTGGTGGTGGGGCTAGGGTCCACCTCTACCATCTGCAGTGTGGCCTGCGGGGCCATCCGGTCTCTTCCCCCGGTGCTCTGTACTGATAACCTGCTCAGATCTTCATCCAGTTTCTGCATCTGCTGTGGTGCCTTTAACTTGAACCAGCTCTCCAAATGTTGATGTAGGTCCATGAGAGACTTAGCTGGAATGGGTTTTAAAGGATTGTAAAACAGTACTTCTAAAAATGTATAAATAAGTCAAAGTTACTTAGACTGAAGAGAAAGCTCAAGAAAGACCTGAAATATATAGGTAGCGAAATTATGCAGATATAAGTTTTTCATTATTTTCACCAAATTAAAAACAAATAATAGTCTTCAGTTGTTATCCAGAGGATATAACTTAGACATATTCCAAACTAATTATAAGATTTGAGTTCTATGAAACCCTTTCTCCAACTCCTAAAGAGGAAAGAAGGAAGTCCTCTAACTTCCTTTAGTAAACATCAGATATTTTTCATCCTTTAAACATGGCCTTTCTGGGATCCCTGGGTGGCGCAGCGGTTTGGCGTCTGCCTTTGGCCCAGGGCGTGATCCTGGAGACCCGGGGTCGAATCCCACATCGGGCTCCCGGTGCATGGAGCCTGCTTCTCCCTCTGCCTATGTCTCTGCCTCTCTCTCTCTCTGTGACTATCATAAATAAATAAAAAGACTTACAAAAAAATAAATTTTTTAAAAAAAATAAATAAACATGGCCTTTCTAGGAATATGAAGAATGATTAAGTACTCTCAATCCTTTTTTTTTTTTTTTTTTTTTTTTATGATAGTCACAGAGAGAGAGGCAGAGACACAGGCAGAGGGAGAAGCAGGCTCCATGCACCGGGAGCCCGATGTGGGATCCCACTCTCAATCCTTTCAACCTATCATTCAGAATCCAGAAAAAGTAATTACATATGCTTACTATGGCCAATAAGGAAATTTGTTGTCTTTTGGAAAGCTATAAATAAATAGCATTTTGATGTTTTTATAAGTAGCTATCATTTCATTAGAGTCACTTTTTTTTTTTTGTTAGACATTGAGAGAGACCTCTCAGTATGAAATAAAGTGGATATTTATTGACTCCTTTTATAGTATAACTTTGGTCAAGTTGCCTGCATATATATATATATGAATGCACATGGCTTCTTCCCTTTGGTTCATTTTCAAGATCTGCATTTTGAGTTGCTTTTCATATAGAAAGTACAGATTTTACTGATATATGCAAATCTTCAGTGACCAATAGCACACATCTATAAGACAGTCAGAATCAAGGTATAGGGGATCCCTGGGTGGCGCAGCGGTTTGGCGCCTGCCTTTGGCCCAGGGCGCGATCCTGGAGACCCGGGATCGAGTCCCACGTCGGGCTCCCGGTGCATGGAGCCTGCTTCTCCCTCTGCCTAGTCTCTGCCTCTCTCTCTCTCTCTCTCTCTCTCTGTGACTCTCATTAAAAAAAAAAAAAAAAAAAAAAAAGAATCAAGGTATAGTCCATGGCCATGACCTAATGTCAGTTACTAACCCTGATTCTTCTGGGGAGCTTTTTAAAAATGTTGATGCTTAAGCCCAACCCCAGACCAAATAAATAAGAACATTAGTGTGGCATTCAGAAACCTTTCTCACCCCCGACTCCAAGAAAAAAAATCCCTATTTTTACCAGGAGGAAATAAGCTCAAAAAGGCTCCCACAATTGTAAGTAGAGAGCTATGCTCAAAGCAGGTTTCCTGCTATCATGTGCAGAACACCGCCACCCAGCTGGGTCACCCCTGCAAGGTTTACTTACACTTCCTTGGGACTATGTGTTCTTTTGCAACTCTATTAAGAAAATACTCATAGTCTAATAGTCTCAAACTTTGTTTTACAGTCATCCTTTTCAAGGCCAGTACTCAGTGTCAGACATGAAGTTAAGATTCTCACAGTGAGTATTTAGAGAAAAAACTAGGAAAATTTTTATGTCTGAGTTTATGCCATGTGTTTCATTGCTAATTAGGAATTGTTTTTCTCCACTTGATAGACTTGTGCTTCAAATAGTAACCAAATATGTGCATAACATTCTCCAGCTCAGCAGTGTGTATGTTTCAGAGTGAAAACACTGCTGTTTCATAGAGAATGGTGTGAACTAATAACAGAATTTGCCATTTTTATTCTGGTGGAGTAACTTTAGCAAATCATAACTGTAGGGAGAATTAACCATGCATCCTTATGGCCTTTTTTTGGTTCGTCTGCATGTTATTTTAGTATTTTCTGAAAGTTTACATGCTTAAAAGGTTACTTAACTGATGCATGACACATAATTTAGCTTCTTTTCTCAATAATTCTATCTTGGGGATGGTTATAGGGTGTGGTATGTGTGAATTTTTGTAATGTCCTTAAAACTTCTTTGCTTTTATCAGTTCTGTTCAAAACAGTGAACGTGGCAAAAAAATTGGAAACGTCATGGTCACAACCAGCCGAAATGTTGTCCAAACAGGAAAAGCTGTTGGTAAGACCTGCCTTTCCCCAGAAACAGATTAGAATCATAACACATCTCTTGTCTGTACTTGATATTGTTAGAATCATAAAGTTGCAGAGATCTGTGTATCATATCATATAATAATGCAAGATAATTGAATACAAAGGCTGAGTGTTTTTCACCTTATTCCTGAAAATTCTTATGACATCGGATAATATCAGAGTTCAGCAAATTTTGCCACACCCGATGGAGAGAGACCAATTTTCTGATGTGTTCACTGTTTTAAGGAGGCAAGTTTCGTTGGAGTTTTTCCCCCATTTTCTGAGCTGCCTGCCGTTTTTTATAAGTAGTAGAGCACCATAATAAAGTAGGTATTAGGAGTGCTGTCTTCTAAGGTATTATCATACAATAAAGGAAATCAGTGAAACCAACAGGTCATTTTTTTATAAAGATCAACAATATCGATAAAATCTTTATAGACTAGTAAGAAGAGAAAAGGTACAAATTACCAGTATCAGGAATAGAAGAAGGGACGTCGGTCTTACAGAAATTAAAAGGATTATAGGGAATATTGTGAATAACTTTATGCCATTTTTTTGACAATTTAGATGAACTATGCAAATTCCCTGAAAGACTCAAGTTGCCAAAAGTGATGTAATAAGTAATTGGAAATTTAATAGCCCTATACTTATTAAATAAATTGGATTAAAAATCATGCCACAGGTTTTTAATTTAATCCAAGCCAATATAGCTTCACTTATTAATTTTATCAGATGTTTAAGGAATAATACCAGTTTTATACATATTCTTTCAGAAAATAGTGAATGAGGTATAACCCTCCCCAGTTCTTTTAATGAGGCCAGTATTACTGTGAGAACCAAGCCAGGTGTCATGCTGTTGCATACATTTCTTCTGCACCTAGCTTTCTTCCGTTAAAATACTTTGAAGTTTGTTCCATATCCATTCTAAAAAAATGTCTCATTCTTTTCTGTCCACCATCAGTGGGTTCATTTGATTATAGGGGGTGGGTAAGCCTTTATTTTCATACACTATTATGCATTTAACTTATTTTGACTTCTTATTTTTAATTGAAAATTCTACTTCATTATAGGTATATGATGTCAATCATGACTTCATTTTTAGTGATGCTCTGCTATTTAAATTCTAAAGCCAGTTCTCTTCCACACTCTTCTCTCTGAGAATAGTGGGAGTATATGATTCAACTTAAATAATTTCACCTGAGCATCAACTTTGGAGATAAGGTTTTTTAAAACAAAAACTGACCAGAGGCAGATACAGCAGTTAGCATCTTCATTTATTGCAATATCATTTCAGCTAACAAAAGCACAGTTCCTGAAAGTAGCCTAACCACTGTTCCCTGTGTAGGTGGTTATCAATTATCAACTTGGTTTAAACTAGAAAGACCACGTAAATCTTTCTGAGCTCTCCCAAATGATTCTGATGCGCAGCCAGTACTGAGAGTCGCTGGCATAGCGTATGTATATTAAGAGAAGAGTTGGCTGACCACCTTCAGAAGGCTTAGGAGAAAAGGTGCTTTTCCCAGAAGTTACCCAGTTTCCTACTAGACAAGTCCCATAGAATGGAATTGTTTTGGAACTAAAATTTAAATGGTATTTTACTATTAACATATTGATGTTATGGTAAATTAACATTTATTAATTAGCATGGGTCTTTTCACTGTCTATTAACAAAAGTGAAGACATTTTTCCTTTTGTTTTTCCCCTCCTCTCCATCCAGGCCAGTCAGTTGGAGGAGCTTTTTCCAGTGCAAAGACAGCTATGTCTTCATGGCTTTCTACTTTCACCAGTCCCAGCCCCCAGAGCCTCACTGAGCCACCTGACGGGAAGCCTTGAGTGTCCAGAGACTGCTGTCGCTTTCCTTAGGTTTAAGTGTTTCCTGTCTGTCTGCTGCTCCCAGACTGTTCCTCTTCATCAACCACAGGTCCACAACAGGGGACCAGCACGTCAAACTGTTTACATGGACAGTTGCCCTTTGTCTAAATGAATGTCGCACGATGCTGGAAAGATGAAATTGCAGCCGTAGCAGGGATGGCTCTCCAGGTTGGGGTTTAAATTGACTACTTTTTTTTCAGTCTGAGCCTGATTAAAACACATAATGAAACTTCTCATGAATTTTCAGTTCTGATATTATACACTTGTTTACGTTAGAAAAGGTTTTACTTATGTAAATTTTGTTCTCTTTTCCTGTTTGAATATCCAGATGGCCACTGTAATTTATATGTGCTAAAATTAAGTTATATTACTATTTGAATTTCTCTCAAGTTGGCCCTAAAATGTGCTTATAAAGGGGCCATACAGTCCAGCCCTTTGTTATTACTTTGCTGAATTATATAATGATTTTTTGGTTTATTGGCTTTCTACCTACAAGACACATTTATTGAGTCGCTTCCTCCCAGAAACATGAAAGCCAGAGGCAGTAGTTCTGGGGATGGAGTGTTTTATGTTCTTAATTTATTCTTCCCCAGTAAACACTTGCTCTGAGGCATCAGAGAGTTTCACTGTGCTTTCCTCCGCTTCCCAACTGTGCAAGTCAGTGTGCAGAGAAATAGCATGGTGCTGGTTACAATGGTGTTCCAGCAGTTACATGCCGAGTGTGTACCTAGGGCGAGACTTCGGAAGAGCTCAGTGTAGTCTGTCAACTCCAGTTATGTTGCAGCCTTTTATAAGAGTTTTTAAACCCGCACTTTGTGCCTTCTGTTTCTTCTTTTGAACCGTTTTCACTGGGTGTTTACAGACGTACAGGTTTTTTGCTTAGTGTTACTCTTCATACGGCATTTCAAGGCATTTGGCCTTCCCACTTCCCTGATGGAAAATCCTCTTGTAATCAGTCCCTACCCCCTTATGAAAGTATGTATAAGAGAAAAACAAGATGATCTGTAACTATTAAGTAGAAATCTCATCTTTGCTCACATTTAGAAAAGCAAGAGGAGAAAAACACAGCCATGACATCAGTCCTGTTTCACAAAGGACCTCTGGTTTCACTTTAGACACATGCATGTGTGTGCTATCTACTGAGGATTTGTACACAACTGGACCTCATGTATCTGCTGTGCACAGCTCTCATTTGCTTTTCAAGGGGACTTTGGATGGGTGTTCTCAGGGAGTACTTACAGGGCACAGACTGCTTTTTCAGTAACAAAGGACACTTGGAAAATAAATACCTTGTAAGTATGATCTACATATGATAGCATATTGGGAAAATGAGGAATCTAATTAAGGAGGACACTTGATTATATTTGATTTCTCCCTTAAAAGTGAGGTGCCTGGCTGGCTCAGTTGGTAGAGCATGTGACTCTTGATCTCAGGGTCATGAGTTCAAGCCCCACATTGGGCATGGAGCCTACTTTAAAAAAATAAAATCTTTTAAAAAAATTAAGAAATGTTTATGTAAGAAGTAAATTTTTCTAGGGCATGTGAAATGAACGTAGGGACATAACTAAATATCTCTAAATTTTCCAATTTGTGTTTTAACACAAGTCCGCAAATCTGAAAGTATACTTCCATTTGAGCACAGTAATTCAAAAATTCAGTGATGATCGATGCAAGGGCTTATTATGAGAACTCTATTAATTCCACTTGTGCTGGGAAACTTAGCCTTCTCAGGAAATATTATTTGAGGAGAAGAAAGTAATACCAAACAAAACCTTAAAAGGTACTTCAATCAGTGTTGCACTGAGACTATAAAGAATTCATTCTAACATCTTGTTTCATGAGGCCATGTCACTAGTCAGAGTGTCAGAGTGCGTTAGCGTGCGGTTGTTACTTCACATCTGCCTGACATTCACAATGTGAGAGCACTGTGACCGGTTAGCCAGCACATTGCTGGTCCATCCTTCATTCTGTATGGTGTGTGGTTTAGGGTAAACTCCCATCTCACTGTGCAGAAGCAGACCAATCCACACTTTGATATCCCACTGAAATAAAAAGAGTGAAGCTTTGCTTTAGGATCACTTGTTCCCCCACTTTAATATACACTTTTACACAAGCTTTCTCACTAAGGTTTCTAGTTAAGAGTTCAACTCTTAAGGTGGTCGTTTTACTGGCTTTCAGCACAAAGTGAATATCTCAAAAGATAGAACTTTTGTCCAAGAAGTAGTCAAAAGACTAACGATATTTCCTTCAGTTTTTTGGGGGTGTTGGAGTTTTCAGGGAGCATAAGCTAGTATGTTGTTGGCAGGGGCCCTGGGGCAGCCAGCAGTCGGTTTCTATCTATTTAATAATTTCTCCCTGATGGCAGGAAGCCTGGCCCCTTGTCTCGTGAGCCTACATGCTTGTTTCTTGGATTCCAGGTGTCAGCTGAGTGGCCAGCCCCAGAAACTGTAGCCTCCTTGGTTCTCTGAGGCCGTCTTTGGACATGCCACTCAAAGAGGATGCATTGTTTAGCCATGCTTGCTCTGGTGCTTTTATGTCTAAGAACTGAGTACTTGTAAGTAGGCCTGAGGGGGCAGCATCAGCCAGGCTTTTCCAGAGTGTGCCAGGCACGTGGACTGCATCTGTAGCTTGGCAGTGACCTCACTGCTATCTAGGTAACTTAAAGGTAGTGCTGGGAAGAAGTCCCTGGCATTATTTAGTTCCTACTAAGGCATTGTAATGACAGTTTACATGGGGAAAGGAAAAGAGTTAAGGCTACCAACCACCTCTGGGCTAAGTGAATAGAAAAAGTTGCATGTCAGAGAGAGGCTTAGAGTTACCTTGCATATGGATTTGACTCATGTAGCCAGGATGAATAGCCTATCCCCAGATCCACCAGTGGTTTACTAGTGCCCAAGCTCTAGAACAATCCTCATCTACTTTTTGCTTAAAGAAGCAGCAGAAATACCCTGGGGCAGCAAACCAGAGCATATGTTGCGATTTCCTCAATCTTATCTTGCTTTCTGAGTTCTGTATTAAGCATTGGCTTTTCTTTCCTTTTTTTTTGGGGGGGGGGGGGCTTTTCTTTCCTTAAGAATAATTTACTTTAGAAAGGCAAGGAGAAAGCAAATTTGCAAGGGAGACAAGTTAGAAGTTGCAAGGCTGAGGAACAAGGTACTTCAAATCTGAATGAAGGTATCTTGAAAGCAGTATTTAATGTGCTAATGGCTACAAGAGCTCTTTTACAAAGAAGGTAGAATTTTTAATCTGCTAGTTACAAGTTATAAAATGAAGCTATAACCTCTCCCTGGCAGGTTTTGTTCTTACTTTGTTTTGTGGAAGTTACAGCCAGTGGGTTTTTTTTTTTTTTTCTCCCCTCTGGGCCTGGTAATGAGCTGGCGAGCACTCAGCTTTGTGAGGGGCAGTGGACTGATCTTGAACAGCGTAATAAACATTTATGTGTCAGTAGTTTGGGCAAGTAGCCTGTTAGGACGGTAGCTGCTAAATATTGCCATTGTTTTTACAATGGAGTTGGCTAGGACTCTTGAAATGGCATCAGCATTTGCAAGCTCTGATTCTTTGACCAGAGGTGGTACAGCATTTGTGGCCTTTCCACCCTGATCAGAGGTAGCCTCTAAGGCTGACGGGGAACACGGCCCCAGCTTCTAGATGATTGTCGTTCCACGTAACTCAGTATGCCACTAGGAGTTTTTCATTCCAGGTCTTTAGAATTCATGACATTGGAATTGTTTTGTTATAATTTCCAACATTCCATAAATATTTGTCAAGGACAAAGGAAAGGAATGTGGATCTTTATTCTTTTCGTATAAATGACTTTGTACACATGACTATCTGCTTTCATACGAAGGGGAAGAAATTAGCTCAAGGGAGGAGCTCCTCCCTTGTGTGATAACTCCAGATTTAAACGATGTGCACGTAGAGGGGTTGAGTATATTTTGTAAAACTCTAATGATTTGTATTTCTGTGCTGTTCTAAAGTTTACCTTTTTACTCATATTAATTAAAGATATATAAACTATATATTTAAATCATGCAAGTGGGACACAATTTAGGGTTTTGGTTTTTTTTCCAGTCTTATTTTTCATCAGCATCTCACACATAGTATGCTGCTCAAATTTTTTTGTGTGCAATATGAACATTTGAACATTTCAGTCAGGTACTGAGCCAGAAAAGGTAATTGAAGTTTTTTTAGGAAGCTTCTGTGCTTAGAAAATATTTTGTTTTCTTGAAATGTTAATTTATAGCTGGGAAAATGGGATCAAGACTTAATGTGTTTCAAGCCGCTTGGTCATTGGTTCCTAAATTTAGGAAGCATTTGATTAACAAGTTAGTGAAGGCATTTAGTGATCACAAAAATAGTTTAAATATTTGAGATTAAAGGCTTCCCATAACCCTCCCCAAGAAAGTTTAGCTAAGAAGTCTTAGAAAGTTTTCTGAGGAGGTTTAGCTGTGGCACACGTTTTGATCAGAAAGATAGTTTCTCTTTGCTCCAATAGTTTTATAATTTGTACTAGTTATTTGTTTCTGTTGTCATTTGTTTTTAAAAAAAATGTTAAATGATAAATCACGTCTAATCATAGTGAATTGTAAAACTTCTGTATCTTTATTTTAAGGAAAAATAAGAATAAAATTATCCTGTTTGTCCTGCATACGGTCGTACTTGGCCTGTCTTTCTAGAAGTACCCTCATGTTGTTGGGGTGGTCTCTGGCCCCTTCACAGTTGGACAACAATGCCAGCTGTGTAAGAAACCAGCACACAGACTGAACTGGAGGACTCGTTGCTCCATTTAATCTCTTGTTTTGATATTGCTTATGATGATGCCTCTGTTTTTAAGGTGATGACCCCTGCAGGAAGAACCCCTTAGTTTCTCTGGGATCTAAGTGCACAACGTACAACCAGACAGAGATTGGTCGGGCGGTGATATCTCATCACATGCTCCCTGACAGAAACCCCCAGGGGAATAGAACATTGTCGAGAGCAGCCTATTTCCCCCACCTGGACTGGTAAGCTTCAAAATAGCCCTTGGCATCTCCACTGAGGGCTCCTAGCATATTTTCATAGATATTTCCATGTACTGTGGTCTTTCTTACAGCTGTTCTACAAAAGAGGAGCTTTGTGATGTGCTTCATAGAAGCAGACATGTTTCCTTGCCCCAGGGGAAGGTTCACTTCCTTGAGTGCTGGGTTAAGTTTAGGGTCCCAGCATCCTCGGACATGGAACATTAGCATCCCGGAAATGATGAGGTATTTGGGGACAGGGGGACAGTAGAGCTTGGCACTGCCGATATCTCCCCTATTTCGAGGATCTCTGCCACCTGGGTATCAGGCTGTGCCATGGGGAGGTCCACGGTTCCCCCTCACCTGCAGGGTCACAACTGCCTGTCCTCTACTCCGATAGGATGAGAGTTGCAGTTGTTGAATCTGGTAACATCAAGAAGGATTGTGATTGCAGAGCCAGTTTTCTTCCAATGAACAACCCTTTGACAAACAACATCTTTTCTGCTGGCCTTAATCTCTGCGGGGTTGGGGAGCTGCACATAAACACACACAGTGTGATCCTGCAGTCCAAAGCCAGGGAGCAACCTGGGGCAGGAGATTAAGAATGGTTACACTCTATGCTCTTTATCCTATGAACACCTACGTTTAGAGCTGCTGACCTCCCAACACAGCACAAGGAACCAAGAGTCAGATCATTTATTTTTTTTAATTTTTTTTAAATTTATTTATTTATTTATTTATGATAGGCACACAGTGAGAGAGGCAGAGACACAGGCAGAGGGAGAAGCAGGCTCCATGCACCGGGAGCCCGACGTGGGACTCAATCCCGGGTCCCCAGGATCGTGCCCTGGGCCAAAGGCAGGCGCTAAACCGCTGCGCCACCCAGGGATCCCGAGTCAGATCATTTAAATGTATATGTTTCATCTTTCACTGGGCCCAGCTACCCTCCTGGAGCATTTAGATATGGACCAGAACTGTAGAAAAAACGAAAGCCACCTGATGAAATCTTGATTATTATTAAAGCCAGGTGATGAGTGTGTTGGGGTTCATTAGACTGCTCATTCTGGTTTGGGATATAACTACCATCCTTCACTTGTCCTGCTGTATCCTACACACGCAATTCTCTTCAGTCGTTGCAGAGAATTTTTTTTTTTAAGATTTTATTTATTTATTCATGAGAGACACAGAGAAAGAGGCAGAGAGACAGGCAGAAGGAGAAGCAGGCTCCATGCAGGGAGCCCGACGCGGGACTTGATTCCAGGACTCCAGGATCACGCCCTGGGCCGAAGGCAGGCACTAAACTGCTGAGCCACCCAGGGATCCCCCGTTGCAGAGAATTTAAAAACTTAGGTCGGGTCCTCAGCACCAAGTCTGTATATCTGCTAGCTCTGCTCTGACCTTGGGTGGTTCAGTGCCTTGTCCTTGTAAAGCAGAATCTGTCTTGAGTCCCTCTTTGTACCCCTAAAGTTAAAGCTTGAGAATGGAGAAGAGCAGAAAAGCAGTTTTGGGGGAAACCTCATTCCATCCCTAAGTTCTCACTCTTCTTAGGAACATGTCTGTTCCATCACTTTCTAGCTCCACTTCCACATTGCCAGGGGATTGGGTCTGACCGTTAACTGATTTCCCGATTTCCAGTCCTACCCAACCCCAAACCCAAGTACACCTTCCTAAAGCATGACAGTATTAATTGTGACGTGGTATCTGCTTACTGTCTACAGAATTAAGGACAGGTTCCTAAGTCAGCCACAAGGGTCCAGCGCACAGTAACTCATTAACTCATGCCACTGCCGCCTTCACCTCCAGAGCCCCCGGCCAACTGAAACTTTGCTATGTATCACCTTCCCACCCCCTAATTGTTAGAGAAGCATTATTGAGGGACCCCACAATCAAAGACCCAGCTCTAGCCTCCCTTCCTTCTTAAAGTCTGCCGCGGGGCTACTTGGGTCCTTCTTAAAACACTCAGACTCAGTGTTTATTGAGTGTTTATTTATACTACGTAAACAGGTGCTTCCCAGGTTTGGAGATTTACAGTTAGTAAAACATTTTTTGAAAAGGAGATGGGCGACTTTAGTGAAATACACCTGCAGAAAAGAGCAAGGAACATTACATTAAAAGTAAATCTAAGCAACTGTTCACTGTAACCATGACCCACATAGGAAATAGCCTATTAGCAGCGCCTAAAAAACCCCACCCTGTGTGTGTCCCTGGTGATGATTCTTCCTTCTCCACAAGTATTTTGTACTCTCACTTTTGAGATCATCATTTCTTTGTCATTTTACCACCTCTTTCCAATGTATGTATCCCAACCAGCATAGTTTATTTCTTGTCTATTTTTGAACTTGTATGAATGGAATCAACCATTTGGATTATGTCTTTTTCTGATTAATTTTGGTTTTTAGGAGATTTTTCTCTCTCATTGTTTTATAATCCCATGCCATCGTACAGCTGTCCCACTGTTCCCCTGGCTGGCTGGAGGCGGATTGGGCTGTTTCCTTTTTGGGGGCAGCTGTAAACAGTGCTGCTGCCCTGGCCCTGGCCATTCTAGTTTGCTTGTCCCACTGCACCTGTGTGTGTTTCTTCCAGGTAAAAATGTGAGCATGAAACTGCTGGATGGTTTTTCACATTCTGTCCAATGCTTAGGTATCACAAGGAACTTAAATTTTTGCCAATCTGATGAGTGTGAAATGATATCTCATTGTGGGTTTTATTTTATTTTATTTTATTTTATTTTTTTAATTTAATTTAATTTAATTTAATTTAATTTAATTTTTATTTATTTATGATAGCCACACAGAGAGAGAGAGAGGCAGAGACACAGGCAGAGGGAGAAGCAGGCTCCATGCAGGGAGCCTGATGCGGGACTCAATCCTGGGACTCCAGGATTGCGCCCTGGGCCAAAGGCAGGCGCCGAACTGCTGAGCCACCCAGGGATTCCCCCCCCCTCCTTTTTTTTTAAAGATTTATTTTTATTTATTTATGATAGACACAGAGAGAGGCAGAGTGTCTTTTATGTTTAGAGGAAATTATATCTTCTTGTGTCGTACTTAAGAAACCCTACTCTACCTCAAGGTCATGATATTCTCTATAATCTTCTCGAAGTTTTTAAATTTTACCTTTCATATTTATTCACTTGTACACCTGGATCTTCTTTTCTAGAGTGCTTTAGAGTAGAGGTCCAATCCCTCCCACCACCCGAACTCCCCAATGTGACTAGAAAGTTTTGGCATTTCTTCTTTTGCCAACTAAGGACCCTAATAACTGTCTTATCATTATCATGCCATACACAATTTAATACCAAAACATGAGAAGAGCATAAGGTCAGACTACGGGAGAATCCTTTAAATCAAATAATTAACTGTTTGAATTGTACTAATTTGTCTGTATTTTTCTCATTTTGTTACAGGTTCTGTGCTCCGGTTCATGGGGATGAATGAAGGAACTTTATTTTTTTACTCTGAAGGGCTAACATTCCCCACGTCTGACAATCACATAAAGGTCCAGTGTTTTCCAGAACTGTCTTGGGGAGCCACAAACCCTAACGGCTTTTCACACTGCCTCAGAGGCACACTGGCCTCCAGAGACCCAAGATGTGCACATTTTTACCTGTTTGCACTGGGAATCCACTCTTAAGACTAACCCAAGCCTCCCAGACTCCTGCCGTGTAAATTCTGTCCCTAGCAGGTATCTGAGGGTTACCATGTACACAGCACATGCCACACAGATGGTTCCTGGCCCTCTTGGAGCTTGCTGTTCAGCAGGAGCAGGTGAGCAGTTACCACAGGGGGCAGAGAGGGCCAGGTCAAGGTAAGCCAGGGTGTGTTCAAGCACATCGTGGTGGCCAGCTGCTGGCCGACAGGGATGAGTAGAAGTCTCCTCCCCTGGGAGACTGAGTTGATACCTGAAGGCTACAGGAGCATTGTGGAGGTGAGGTGGGGACGAGGGAAGAGGCTGTACTCTACGGAGGGCTCCGGGGCTGGGAAGACAGCATCAGCACACTAGAAAGCAGTGAATGTTCTTTGGTGTGGCTGAGACCTCAATGGCCAGGTGAGGAAGAGCCAGGAGAACTCTGTGAGCCAGGAGAAGGGGTACAGACTTGCTTGAGAAGGCAGGGGGAGAGCCTGAAGGGCTTCCTCACAGGCCAGAGGCAGGTTGGGTGCTGCCCTTGAGAAGGTCAGCCCAGGAGAGGGTACCCCGCAGGCGCACTGGCCTTGGCCCTAAATGCAGTGATGTTTCTCTGAATCAGCAGTACCCTCTCTTTTCCCCGGTAGCCCAGTCTCACAGCTCTCTGCCGACTTCAGATCACATGTCCCCCGAACAGTGGGCCCGAGGACAGAACCCCTGTGATGCCGCCCTCCCTCAGAAAGCAGTCACTGTAGGGACATGTGTTTTCCTTTGATTTCACTGGAATTTAGTGGGTCCTGTTAGTGAGAAGCAAGTCTGAGTGATTTCAGGGAACATGGGGGGACACTCCAGCATCTAGCTTTTACTCTTGGCCTAGTGGAGACCCAGGATACCTGTCCCGCCAGCTCTGTGTCGGTAGGTTTAAACCTGGTTAGAAGTCACTTTTCCCCCCCCCCATACAGTTTACAAGCAGGAAGGCAGTGTGCTTTGTATATTCAAAAAGTCCATCTGCGGCCACTC